TTTTTTTTTGATTTTTTTCTTAATTTTTATTTTTTACTTTTTGTAGAGACAAACTCTCTCTATGGTGCCCAGGCTGATTTTGAATTCCTGGGCTCAAGTGATCCTCCTGCTTTGGCCTCCTGAGTAGTAGGGACCACAGGCATGAGACCAAAATGCTTGGCCTACACTTTTTTTTTTTAAGCTATTTTTTCTAGTCTCACCTTCTAAATATTCAGCAACCTCTGTCTCCTGGGCTCAAGTGATCCTTCCACCTCAGCTTCTCGAGTAGCTGGGAGTATATGCATGCACCACTACTAATTTTTTTTTTGGTTTTTTTTTTTTGGTACATACAGGGTTTCTACCATATTGTCCAGTTTGATCTCGAACTACTGGTCTCAAGATATGTGTCTGCCTCAGCCTTCCGAAGTGCTAGAATTACAGGTGTAAGCCACCATGCCCAGCCAAAAACAATTAATGTTTAAAGTTAATACGTAATATACATTAGGCAAAATTTATGTGTTCTTGTAAAATAAATTCTTTTAAAGATTGAAGTAACAGTCCAACCCAAAACTATAAAGAAGAAAAAATTTTACTTCATTAAAGTACTTCATTAAAAATATTGTAACGTTAAAATATTTTAATTTTAAAACCATAATTTAAAATATTTTTAATGTTTTAAAAATAAAACCATCATACAATATAATGCTATCAACTAGGAGAATATTTACAATAAGCCAAATATTGATACATGTAGTCTATAATATTTTTGCATATAGATATGAAAAGATACTTCTATAAACCACACAAAGTACTACAATAAGCAGTTCACTAAAGATAAACCACAAATGGCAAACAAATATGTCAAAATGCTTTATTTATAATTAAATAACTATATTACTAAAAATACTTCTACAATCCTTTTTCTTTGCTTGATGAATTAGCATAGGTTTAAAAACCTGATAATACTTAATTTTAGCAGTTTCACAAGAGAAGGAAATACATATTGATACAAACTTTAAAACATTGTATATTCTGTATATTGAGTCCTAAAAATATTCATAGACTGATCCAAGTAATTTTATTTATTGTATGTACTCTAAGAAATGATCTGAAATTGAAAAAATATAAATACAAGTATTCTCAGGAGACAGTTCTTTGTAGCAGCAAAAAAGAATGTTAACAGCTTAAATGGTAAACAAAGTAAATATTTTAATAGATTATGGTACTTGTATATGTGAAAGAATGCCATACAACTATTTACATAATATCCTCAAGGCTTTCCTTGAAAATAAAATTATGCTTTAGCATGATGTCAAATGATAAAATGCATACTTCAATGTTATGCAGAAAATATAAGTTCAAGTATGTAACAATATAAGTGATAAATATTATGTGATAAAATGGCTAAATGGCAGCATTTTTTTGGTTAAGTGGCAGAATTTTAAGTTAATCTGTTATTCTTAATAGCAGATTTTATAAACATATTTTGTTTATAGGTATCTTCACTCCGCAATTTTTCTATTTTGGAATACTTGGTTTCCCAAATACTCTTTTAGAGAACAAAATACTGCTTTTATCAGTAGACAAAGTATTGAATATGCTTTGCTACTATATATTTCATCATAAAAAACTGACAGCTCTTTTCATACTATCATTGATGAATTCAATTACATTGTGTCCATTTTTCCCCAAGCTTAATAACCTCTGGGTGGGCTAGAATTCAATTTTAGATCCTTTCTGTGAAATCTAAAACTATAGACCAATCTGGCTAAGAAGAACCCTGATAACTGTGCCACATTAACTCAGAAGTTGTCAAAATTACATTCTATCAGTGAGTGTTACTACTTTGTCATGTGTCAGATGGGGCTCTCAAATTCACCCCACCCCAGAGGAGCTGCTTAGGCAGAGCTCAGCTTAAAGTTTGGCAGGTTTTCCCATTTACAACGTCTGGTTGACTAAACGGACTTTGGATTTGCTCTGGACTTCGTCGTATCTTGGATTTGGGAAAAGGGTGGGAGAAACAATTGAAGTCCCAATTTGATTTCTAGGCACAGGTCACATTCTCCAATCTAATTTTTACCAAAGAGGCCTATTTTGGTATTTTTCAAATGTGTAACAACCACAGTGAAATTGTACTTTTCTAAATTTCCTACTTTTTAAGAAAAGAGCTCCATTTACTTCAAGAAAATTGTTAGAAAGAGAGATATGCAGCAGTGAAGCATTAGGAGAGTTTTTAGTTCCAGAATATTCCACAATTTTAATACAACCAAACGCCCACCCTCTCTTAAAATTCTTCCCTTGTATTTCACTTTCTGCCTACATCTGAAAGGGAAAGGAGGCTACTCTGAGAACTGGCTATCTCAGAATAAGAAGAAGGAAAGCAGGGGAAATTTTCTCTACTTAGTGGTTTATTTGTTTTCTTTTTATTTTGCCAGAGAACCCCATACAATAAGTTATAAGCCCTTCATTCAGCAAATAATAAAGTGAGATTCTGTCTTCCATTTGGACGTGTTTCCATGCATTTAGTTCTAATGGTCTGGACCCATAAGGAGAAAAGCTGAATACTAAGGTTTGGATATCTCTTAGTTCCTATTTGAATGACACATTGAGACAGTCGAAGTTTCTTACATACATTCTTCAACTTTAAGTTGTAATAATTAATTCCGATTATCAAAATGTTTGGATCAAGAAACAGAAATAACAACTTTCTTTTGATCATTAATGAAAAGGCACTACTTGTTGTTTGTTTCAAAGTTCAGCAATTGGACAATATGAGTTTGACAAGAATCATTATTTAGGCTTCCTTTATACTATTGTATATGGTTACTTTTGTACTTTAAACTGAATGTTTAAATTCCCTCAAAATTCTTATGTTGAAACGTAACCCTCAATGTTATAATATTTGGAGATGAAAATTTTGAGAAGTGGTTTGACCATGAGGGTGGAGTTCTTGTGAACAAGATTAATCTCCTTATAAAAGAGGCGCTTTCCAACTTGTGAAAACACAATCAGAAGATCTCTGATCTATGACCCGGAAAGTGGGACTTCACCAGACATTGACCCTGCTGGAAGCCTTGATCTTAGACTTCCCAGCCTCCAGAGCTGTGACAAGTGTCTGTTGTTTATAAGCCATTCCACTAATTTCATTATAGCAACCTAAATAAACTAAGACACTTTTCATGTTTAATTCATCTAAATAAATTATGTAAAATATAAAATGTGCCCTTTAAATTATTTCTATTTGAATTCTGATTCTTTGACCCTTGATTGAAAACCCTGTTATAAAAATATGTGTGTGATAAGAATGACTCTAATATCTAACGTTATTGCAATATATTGGAGTTACCATTATCAAACATTAATTATAATATTAATAGAAAAATTAAATATGTATATCATATTTCTCATGAAGTATCTCTAAATATGTTAAAGTGTAGAGTTAGAAAGAAAGATTTCTAACTTTAGAAAGCCTCCTGGTCTCTGTAAGCCAAATGTATTTCTCAACATGAACAAATAACGTTTTCCTTAACTATGAACATATTTTAGAATATGCATATTAATTTTGGATTTTGTTTTGGAAATACAATTGTACTTTGATTTAGAAATTCATAATTTGTGATTATTTTAGTTTTTATTCATCCCATGGATATATGTTATTTATTATAAAAATTTACATAACTTCAAAAGATAAAAGTTAAAAGTCTTGCCTCCTTTGCTAGGGGACCCATTCCTGTAAAAAATGTTCCATGTTCATATATACTCAGGTACACAGACACACAAAATATGTGCATGCGTGCATACACGCACACCATACACATAGACACAGCTCATTTGTTTCCTTCTGATTGAAGTGTATGGAAAATTTTGTCAGCAGCTATAAACTTCTCCCCCAGTTGTAGAGGTACAGTTTTGATATGAATATAATGCACTAAGTTGGCTTGTAGTGGGATAAATACTGAGGTACTTTAAAACCCTTTGTTTTTCTGCCAAGAACACATGTTCCTGTCTTTTTCAGCAGTCCCTTTAGAAAAGAATTAATTCCAGACAGCTTTGAGCTATTTATGCCAACACCACAGGCACTGAAGGAAGCAGCTTTCAAGAGAATGGCTACCTCTATCCTCACCTTAATGATTTTTCTTTTGGATCAATGCTCATAGGTTTTGGAGTCTGTGTGCAGAGTATTTATTAAGTTGACTATAATGACTGGGGATAGCACCTGCTTCTCCTGTTGATCCCCTGTATTATTGTGTGTGTTGTTTTTTTTTTTTTTTTAAACACCATGTCTGTTTTCAAAGAAATCCTCAAAATCTTTTCACATAAAATATGATTCAGAAATTACAAAATTCTCATCACTAAAATTTGGTATGCAGATTCTTATTCCAGGTAAAAATATGTTTAGGTATCTAATGAAAATGGTAATTACACCTGAGTTCATTTATCTTAAAATCAGCCTTAGTTGTATTTATTTGTATTTTATTTTTCTCCTATTTACATGTTACTGCATAAGTCTTGAATATTATTTTACATAGTAAGTTTTCTTTCATTGTGCTGCCTGGTACTCATTCCCCTTCCCCTGACGTTCCGGCAGCAACCACAACTTCATGTAACTTGTTTTGAAGAGAAAGGGCACGTATAACTTAGGTTTTTTTTTTTTTTTTTTTTTTTTAAAGCAAATACAATTGTGTGTGAGAGACAGTATGGGTGAATATGTATGTATGTTTATACTAGTAGAGACAGTTAAATAGGAAAACTTCATGAGATAAAAGGTTTTCTGAATACCAAAAGTTTGACTTCAAATATCAAAGCTTAAAGCCCTGTAGGAAGTCAGGTTGAATTGATTCCAAATACAAAGTGATAGCAAAGCTAACCTTGTCTACCCTGGGCAAAAGCGATCACAAAAGAAAGAGATGATGGTGACACTACATGACCCTAAAGTCCTGATTCAACAACAAGCATCCATGAGACGAACCACCCTATCTTGTCTTCATCTGCATTGTAGCCGTTTGCTTTTTACGGGTTACCTGATAAACCAGCTCATGCACTCTGTGGTCTGCACTAATGCTTGGATTCCTCTGGTGGCCAGCTCCTGCTCTGAACTTGGCTCTCATCTGGCTGGTGAATGGGTTGGGGTAGACAGCCCATCTGGAGCTTGTGGTTACTATTAAGGATGTGAAGATGTACATAGGTCTTTAAGGGTGTGTTCACGTTCATCTCTAAATAAGCTCACGGTGTCCCCGAGCTCTTCCCAGGGAAGTGTGGTACATGTCCTACATCCTCTCTGCTTTGAGGCTCTACTGAAATAATATAAAATTGCGAATGCTCCATTTCCATGACTGGGATATAAGACCAGAACTAGAAGCCCTCTAAGGCAGTGCTTCTGAAATTATATGTGAGGACTCTTTTTTCAGAGTCAATTTTTTTTTTGTTTTTTAGTATCTAAGCGGTCATAGGTGAATACAAAGTGAAAATGAGCTATTAGTAAAATAAAAGTTTACAGGTAATATTTCATCTCCTAGATGGCTGCAGAGGAGTCAGGATCACCATATCAAGCTATATGACAGTGCCGATAAGGGAGAGGCTAGAGCTAGAGAGTGTAGCCCCAGAGCCCTATCAGTGCTTGAAAGGTTGACTCTATATACCCTTTTGCCCAAAGCTTTGATTTGCTTTGTCAGTTACCAAGGTGTCAGAAAACTAATTAGATGGACAGGAGATAGGGGAATAATGGGTACAAAAGAGTGGTTCCCTGGCAAAGGCCCCATCTGCAAGTCTGGAAACCCATGGCCCTAATTGGGAACAGGCATTCCTGTTTTCATGCCCAAAAGTTGCCTTTTGGCCTGTCATGCTCCCCTATCCTGTGCCCATATAAACCTCAGACCCCAGGCTCCAGAACCTATGAGGAGATTAACAGAAGAGCATAAGAATGGCAGGACAGTGTGGTAGAGAAGGCAAGAAGAAAAGGAACGTCTGAATGCCGAAAGGAGTCTGGCTGGGAATGATCAGAGAGGAGATGAGCCACTGGATAGCCAAACTCCAGGGGAAGATCATCTTCCCACTCCATCCCCTTTCCAGTTCCCCATCCATCCCACTGAGAGCCACCTACACCACTTAATAAGATCCCTGAATTTATCCTTCAAGTCCATGTGTAATGTGATTCTTCCTGGATGGCAGACAAGGACCTGGGTATCAAGAGGGCACTGAGCTGGTTAACACTTAAGCCATCTATGGACAGCAAAGCTAGAAGAATGCACTGAAACACACTCCCACTTGGGCTTTGGAAATCATAGGTACCCACCCCTAGACGTTACCAAGCGGACGGAGCCCCAAAACACTCACCTGAGCTCTTGCACCTGCCTGTCTGCATGCTCCCCTTCCTGTAAGGGATTTAAGTGCATGGTGCTGAACACACAAGCCACACCCCTGTCACACATCCTGTAGAGGGGTCAGGGAACTCTCCTGCTTCACTAACACTCTGCCTTTGCCAAGATTGATGACAGTGCATCATAAATACTCCTACTCTTAGGTTTCAGGAAGAAACCTATGAGGTGCCTTGTTACAAATGCCAAGAATACCCCAGCAAGAACAAATTCATTATACACATTAGTAACCTTGATGATAACCATACTTTCTTAACTAGCATTCCATCTTATTTCCTCATTGCTTTCCCAGTATTTCCTAAGTTCATTTTCCAGATAAATTATTCTCACTTGAATCATTGAGAGGGAGCAGGGACCCCTCTTGGCCTGTGGGCCCACCCAAACATAGAATTAAAGAAAAATCTTGAATTTCTTCCAGGGACCTAGCTAGCCTGGAGAAGTATATAAGGAACTTGATAAGCAAGAAGGTAATAATAGCTCAAAACCATAGGCAAGAAAGTTAGAAACTAAAGGTAACAAACATCCCTGAGTTGGTTTGCTGAAATCTGGATCCACACCAAATGGGGATGCTAAGGACTAAACTCAGATCACTTATGTTCTTTGTTCTACATTTTTTCCTGAAGGGACTGGAGGAAGCCACATCCAGGAGCCACAAGCTAAAGTTCTTTTATGCCCACCCCAAATTTTTAAACAAAGCTTCTCTTTTTTAACCAACTGCAAATCAGATGAACTTTAAATCTACGTATGACTTTAGGCCAAACATTGTGTAACCTCTATGTATTGATTTATGATTTTGCCTGTAACTTCTGCTTTCCTGAAATTTACACTTTCCTTTAAGAAAACCCTTACCTGAAAGCCATTGGGGAAGTTGGGACTTAAGCCTGAACTGCCTGATTATCCTTTCTTGGTGCCCTGCAAATAAATGCCTTCCTTTCTCCTGCTGCAAACCTTGGTGTGGGTATTTGGCCTTACTGGCCCAGTGAGCCTACCGCAGTTTAGTTTGATAACATCATAGGCTCAGGGACTGATTCTGAGAGAATAAAACCAAAGTTACCACTACTAAAGTCCAGCCTGCCAGCCAGAAAATGAAGGAGAGTAAAAGTGGGAAAAATACCTATATTTGATTGAGAATTTACTCCATAGAGCCTGCATTTTTTTTTTTTTAAGACGGAGTTTCACTCTTGTCACCCAGGCTGTGGTGCAATGGCGTGATCTCGGCTCACGGTAACCTCTGTCTCCTGGGTTCAAGCAATTCTCCTACCTCAGCCTCCTGAGTAGCTGGAATTACAGGCACCCACCACCACACCAGGCTAACTTTTGTATTTTTAATACAGACGGAGTTCCACCATGTTGGCCAAGTTCGTCTCAAACTCCTGACCTCAGGTGATCCACCTGCCTCGGCCTCTCAAAGTGCTGGGATTACAGGCGTGAGCCACTGCACCTGACTGAGCCTGCATTTTTTATTAGAAATACTTACGTTACCTTGAGTTGGCAAGAGTACATTTTCTACATTTGAGAATAAACGTGGTCTTGAGAAGCCATGTAAAATAGAATTCAATCTTTCCACCCATGATATTGTAGCTGGTAAAACTTCTCTGTGAAATTCTGTGATTATATGGCTTGTTACTGATAAACTAAGTTTTCTGTTTAATAATTTAAGAATATCCAAAAGAGCTAAATATAAAAGGAAATGTAAAGTAATTGACAATTACTATTTTATAAAAGGTAAAAAGGATAATCTAATGGCATGTGGGCAGGAGTTTAATAAAGATAAGAAATGGGCAAAATCTCTCTACTGTTTCTTTTTGTTCACTGATCTCCCTCCAGGCAAGTGTATGCAGGGAAAGTTCCTAATGAAGAGAACAAAGTTAACTGAAGTTTACTTCTTGTGAATGCTTAATATAAAAAAAAAAAAAATCTGGTTTCATGAAGTCCCAGTATTTTACAAATTAAACTAGACCCACAAAGAAATATATAATTTATGATTATACACAAATTATAAAATAACCTAAAAATACTATAGCATTTGCAGAAGGTAGAAAAGATGACTTCTCCAAAATAATCATTGTAAAACCCACTGGTATTCTTCTGTCTACAAGGAACACTCCCATCTCTTTAAGAAACAAATTGCGCTCCTGCTGGAGCTGATAAAATAGCAGTGGAAACAACTCTATCAAGCTTCCTATTATAAACTATCATTCCAGGCTTTATAGCTTGGCTCTTTCAAACTAAAGTATGTTGGGCAGAGACTAGGCATACAAATTGCCAGCCAAAATACATTAAGTCTGGTTGAGCTGTCTTTTTTTGGAGGATGCAAATTAGAGCATTGTGCTCTGCATGCAGTTAGTGCTTGGCGTGGGGCTGCAAGAATGCTTCTGATAGTGTGACAAAAATAAATAAATAAATAAAATAAAAAATGAAAAACTTTTCAGTGGGAAATTTTAAAACAGATTGGTTATTATTTCAAAATGTACAAATTTTACATTTGTTACATTTAAGACAAATTTTAGTTCATGAAAACAATATTTTAACATCAAATAATATAATCTACATAATAGTTTTCATCCAAGTTTATGGGAAACGGTCCATTTGATGGTTTTATTGATAACTAAACCATTTGAAGGAATCATTGACTCATAAGTAGCATCTATGATTATAGCCTTCTGTGGTGACTGAGGGAAAATGGCTTAGATTAGCAGATATTTTGTTCAAATAGCTGTGCTTATGAGTTTTGCTTCAGAGATGCAGGAATAGAATCAAAAATTTAACCTGAAATAGTTCTGGACATATCAGAAAGTATAAGTTTTGGCTTCTGGATATTCTGTATCTATAAATCCATTTTTTAAGTTCATGGAGTTTGGTCTCTTCATCTTGGCTTCTTTTGCACTGAAACATTAGCATAGTAATGGGATATTATAGCAAAAGGATATTATTCCCGTCGGTTCACCCAAGTTATTCCCCTCAGTTGATGACTTAGTCCCTTCAAAATTACATTGAAACTTGCTGGTTCTTCCTTCATTCAAGAATATTTATTGATTCTATGATATGCCAGGCACTGTGAAGATAAGAGAAAGATAAACAAGTTTCCTGTCTTTGTGGAGTTTATACAAGGAGTTTGCAATGTTATTAGTAACATTGCTATTAGGTTATCAGGGGGCTTCAGGAACCTGAAGAACAGTAGTAGAAAATATAAATTGGTGTACTCAAGTGGAAAAAATGTTTTACTCATTTTTGCTTCATTTAAAATTTTTATATTAACACAATAATACAATATTAATTTTTAAAAATAAGCACAACCTTCTTTTACACAATCTATACCTTTTCATGACTATAGAAAACTTTTTTTAAAAAAAACGTTGACTATCAATTCTTTGTTTTTTGATAATAGTTTGTGAGTACAATGTTTCCTTAAATAGAGAACTACCTGAATTTTCCTCTTCCTTTAACTCTGTATTTTGGAACTTCATGATAAATCTTTTTCTCCACTAGCTAATAATGATATTGACTGCAAAAATCAATAAACATGAAAAGTAACGACCTCTAGCAATTTACTTTTATTAAATCTGCAGAGAGTTTTGATATCATTTACTCTGCAACTCAGTCTCTGAATTTATTTTATTTTGCTTTTTCTAACTAGTACATTGCTTTGTTCTCAGGTAGAAAAGGAAGAGGAAAGCACGGCAAAATTCAACTAATGCATCATTTTGACACATCTGTTGTTCGGTCAGTGGTGTGCAGTCTCCCATTTCTGATGTAATAAATGTTTATGGTATTTCTATTTTAATGAATGCCCTAGGCTCCAGGACCTGTTTGTATACTTCTGTAGCATATATCTTTAGTGAGGAGATGGTGTTGTCTGTTTCAACTAATAGAGGGTAAAACTGAATGGAAAATTTAGATTTGAGAGCCACTGCCTCAATGCAACCCTCCCAGGGAATCAATACAGAGCACGGGGAGCGTGGGGAGGCCAAAGTGGCAGCAATTGGGTCAATTAAAGGAAATGAGTGCAAGGTTTGAAGGAAAGTAGATGTTTATTTTCAGTAGGTTAGTTTGTTTCGATAAGCAATCATTTTCTCCTTTATTTCACAAGAATTAATGGGAGTTTTCTCAAAGAAAATCTCAGAATGTAGAACCTCATCCCCTGATGTCTCTGAATATATGTCTTTGAAAAAATGGCAAGATTAGCTGTCATGTTTGAAAAAGTAAATATATAACATAAAGTAGATGGTCGGGCTGGCAATAAAAACAAAAATAGACAAAGGAAATTACATCAAATTGAAAAGCTTCTGCACTGCAAAGAAAATAATTAACAGAGTGAAGAGACAATCTAAAGATTGGGAGAGAATCATTTATCAAATGAATATCATACATTTGATAAGGGGTAAACATACAAAATATATAAGAAACTCACATAACTCAACAGCAAAGAAACCCAATTTTAATATGACAAGAGACCTGAATAGACATTTCTCACACGAAGATACACAAATGGCCAGCAGATCTATTTTTAAAAACATGGTTGATCATTTGAAAAATGTAAATTAAAGCCGTGAAGAGATATCATCTCACACTTTTCAGAGTGGGTTTTATAAAAAAGACAAAAGATAGCAAGTGTCAGTGACAATGCTGAGAAAAGGGAACCCTTGTATACAACTAGTGAAAATGTAAATTAGTACAGAGCTTATGGGAAACTATATGGAATTTCTTCAGAAATACCTAATGTTAATGATGAGTTGATGGGTGCAGCAAACCAACATGACACATGTGTACCTATGTAACAAACCTGTATGTTGTGCACATGTACTGCAGAACTTAAAGTATAATAATAATAAACTAAAATTAGAATTACCATATGATTTAACAATCTCACTTCTGGGTATTTACCCAAAAGATTTAAAATAAATATATCAGAGAAATATCTGCAATCCCATGTTTATTGCAACATCATCCACAACAGCCAAGTTATGGAATCAATTTTGCAATCAACCAATTCAATTGATTGAAATCAACTCAATCAATTATGGAATCAAATGTCCATCAATGAATGAAATGATCATAAAAATGTGGTATATATACACTATGAAATAGTATTCTGCCTTAGAAAAGCAGAAAATTTTGTCATTTGCAAGACATGGATGGTATTGGAGAACATTATACTAAGTGAGATAAGCTGGCACAATAAGACAAACAACACAAGTTCTCACTTACATCTAAATCGAACTCATAGAAACAGAGAGTACAACGGTGATTACAGAGACAGAAGTGTGACCAGGGGAATGAGGACAAGATGGTCAAAGTGTACCATATCTCAGTTAGATAGGAGGAATTTGTTTAGTTTTTCTTTTCTTTTTTTTTTTTCAGTTCTATTGTACAGTGCGCAATAATTAAACTTTAATGTGAATTTCTAAATGACCTACATTTGGTTTATTAACTGCCTATAAATATGGAGATATTTTTCTATTGAGGAAAACATGAAATATCAGTTTACATGCCTAACAGTAGTTTTGCATCTCACATAATGGTCCTTTTTCTATAAATACCAAATTATGTATGGAGTGTTTGGAAAGCATTTAATACAATGTGGAACATGAAATTATTTTTAAATCATGTATTTGACCCTTTAAAAAAAAATCTCAAAATGCCAGAACCTGACTTACAATGTTTACGATACTGTTTATAATTAAATTAGCAAACACTGAGAAGACTTTAATCTAGGGAAATTTTATATTGATTTTTAAGTATATAAATTCTAAAACACTGCAATTAACAGGCTATATTTTTCCACATAAATATGGAGAAATTTTGTGGAGTTCCTTTTGCATTAGAATATAATTCAAACCCATCTGCTTCATGGTACAAAGGCAAAACTGGCCTTATGTAAGCTTGCCTCTTTAGGAGCACAGTGCTTTACTGTATTATAGTGAAGATGAAGAAAAGTATGGAGATTAAACATTGTTTCAAGTATATTCTAATCAAACACTGAAAGTTTTTGTATGATATTGAGAACAATATATTAAATGAAGGTAAAATGTTGGCTAATTAGTATATATCATGAACAATGAAAAGCCAAAATTATATAAGAATAAAATAGTAACATTTAAATTACAGTTGGTGATACACAGCACAGGCTGGCATACTTG